TAATGATGTCAGTTCATCAAAAAAAAAAAAAAACGCACACGCACACGCACACGCACAACAAAAGTTAAATGCCTATAACTATGAAAATCTCATTTCAAAGACAAGTGTCAGACAAACATCACATTAAAAGAAAAAGGAGAAACAGTACATTTTTATGCTTAAGTCTTTTACAAACTTGCTGCTTAAATCTTTCCTTGCCATTGATGGAATTCTTCTGTCATTTATGACTGCACTTTCCTGCCATAGATGGAATTCAGCCAAATGTTCACTGTAATATGGTTAGGCGGAGCTACTACATAAGATTGTGGTCTCCTGATTCAAAAATACACAGAAGCAAACAATATGTAAGGGATAATGTAGATCTAGGTGTTTTTTCCTCACAGAATAAAGCCAGACAGGCTTATCAGCAGCCTGTGGTGAAGCTTTATTCTGCAAAACAACTACCTGCATGTACATTATCACGCTTATTACAAGACTACTTGACTCAATTGTAAACAATTAGACACAAAACAGTGATTTGAGCTGTAATAATTCATTACAACTAAATGTAAAGCTTGCAGGAGTGTATAGCCTACAGTACCCTATGTATTATTAATTCACAAGATGGTGCCAAAAAGTCAAAATTAGTGGAGGGACAGATAACAAATAAATATTTATGCATTCGTTAATAGTCAAGATGAGCCCGTGTTATTAGATTCAGTTGATGATATCTGGGAATAACATGAATTGTGTGATTGACGGAATCAAGCTTTCCAGAGAGGTGTAATAAGTATCGTTAATTGTATAAGTGAACTTGATCACAAAGCCTATAATGAGGGAAAACCTGCTACCTTTTGCCTAAAAAAAGGGAATCTGCTAAAGTTAACACTTTGACTGCCTGTACGCAGGCCAGGAGACAAAAGGACTGAAAGAATGGAGGAGAACAAGGCTAAATAGACTACTTTTTGAGGTAAAATGACTACTAATCAACAGCATATTTTTTATGATCATCTCCCAAATCCATTTCATCATTGATGATCTTCATGTACTGTATTCAGCTGCATTCAAAACCACTAAGCGCTTCAGAATAAACAGCTTTAAGTGTGTCAATGGACTTAATGATACTCAATCTATGTTTTAATTGTCATTGTGAATTTGAAAAGGATGTAGTAGTAAGCTCTGATGAGGATGAACTTGTCCCTGAAAGTTTTTGTTATGAAACTTTCAAGTTTAAGTGTTGCACAATAAGAAATGAAATATATATATATATATATATATATATATATATATATATATATATATATATATATATATATATATATAAAGCAAAAAGATAGAATAATATGGTTTGTTTTGCTTGTTGCTTTGTTTAAAAGCAGAGTCCCCATTCTTTCTTTGCCATATTGTATGTTCAGAGGAGGCCATGAATTTTTATTGGAAATGATATACAGTATAAAAGAAAATGCAGGTCTGGCTGGCAACCTTTATTTACAAAAGAAAGGCAGGAAAAAAGAAACACTGGTAGGTTAAAAGTTCATGTGCAGGGACACGCACAATGCAAAAATGGTTGTAGTAAATCTTTTGAAAGTTCAAATTGAACTTTTGACTTGAATTATTTTAGGGCCTTTTACTATGCTAAAGCTCAAACCAGAAGATGATATTTTTCTGCCTATAAGCATACAACAATGTTGTGCATAAAACATTATGAAAAATATTCCAATGAAACTGCTTCTTTATGCTATTGTCATTTGAGTTGATGTGAGAATGTTGCTTATGTTTTATATATAGATCAATTTTTAAAACAATGTCTAGTATAAGACCCCTAAGGTTTTAATATATCATAACATCATGAAGAATTGTTTGACTTATTTGGTGGACCAATGTCAAGAAGTACGTTTCAAAAACAATTATAGGTTAATTCAACTAGTTTTTCAAAGGGTGTAGACGTGCATAAAGCCTTTTTCATTATTTCATTTAAGAATGACGGTGAAGGCTCCAGATCAGATGACAGATGTTATTTTAGGTGTCTAAAGTGTGAACTTCAAGGTAAACCACCAGTCTGGGACTGAATCGTTCCATTTGGTGCTGCTAGTGACATAATAAAAATGAACATTTAACCTTTAAGTCAAGTCAACAGCATCCAGTAAAGACACTGGGGAAACAGACTAGTTTAAGAAATCACACAGTTTAAACTGGTAACCCCTGGTGTACCCAGTCTAAATGACCAAAAATGTGCAAGACACTGTGCGTGTGACTGATTTGGTTCATTAACCAGAGCAGGAAGCCTGCAGGAGTAATGCATCTTTCACTCACACACACACACATACACACTCTTTGTGGCATCACTGCAGAACGGCTGTAATCTTTTTGCTATGCTATCCATTCAGCTTACAGCATTCTCGCAGTCTCCACACACCCTGACAGCAGGCATCAGAGAGTATTTGAACCCAAAGACATGTTACTGCACCAGGACCTGAGCAGCGCTATAAGCAAGCTTTTTTCCTCGGTCATTCTCTGCTGTTTTTGCGAATCTCTTCTTCTCCTTCTGTGCTAGTTGTAGATGCAGATTGTGCAAAATAACAACTGGACTAAAATAAAAGCAGTATGGTGAGATTTTGCCTGCATTGTGTGGACCAAATGTTTTTAAAAAACAGGGGGAAAAAATGGTAAAACCTGCAATCACCAAGACCCTCCTCATCTCTTTAAATTCCACTGTTAGTAAAACACATTTTTGATCAACATCTTGGGTTGATCACGCTTTTTTTCCCCTTGTTTGTTTGTTTTAAAGACAGGCAACTAGTCCACCAAGTTGTAACAATGGCAGCTAAAAGGTTAATAAAGATAAAAGAGGATCTTAACAAACCTATAAATCAAGTGTTTAGATATATATTTAGCCCCTTTGATATGTATATATATATATATATTAATATTTCCAAAAAGAATGTTTAACAGAGCAAGACAATTTTCACAGTATATCTAATAATGTTTTTTCTTCCGGAAAAAGTCATATTTGTTGTATTTCGGCAAGAATAAAAGCAGTTTTTAGCCCCTTTAAGCAAATTTTTTTTTACGATAGTCTACAGAAGAAACTATTATTATACAATAACTTGCCTAATTACTCTAACCTGCCTAGTTAACCCAATTAACCTATTTAAGCCTTTAAATGTCCCTTAAGCTGTATAGAAGTGTCTTGAAAAATATCTAGTGAAATATTATGTACTGTCATTACTGCAAAGATAAAATAAATCAGTTATTAGACATCAGTTATCAAAACGATTATGTTTCGAAATGTATTGAAAAAATCTTCTCTCCGTTAAACAGAATATATATACCAGACTGTGTCCTATATGATGTCCTTTGCTCTATGTATACTTATGTGCTATGCATTGAACAGTGTATATGAATTATAATAGGTTATCTTTTTATTTAGCAGTCTGACAGCCCCGCACCCTCCAAAAAGCATTAAAAGAGATAGAAATTTAGTGCATGAAGAGTCATTCTACTTTTTTAGTTTAAATAATTGTAATTGCATGCAATTAAAGTGCATATTCATATACAGTTGAAATCAGAATTATTAGCCCCCTTGAATTATTAGCCCCCCTGTTAATTTTTTCCCCCAATTTCTGTTTAATGGAGAGATTTTTTTCAACACATTAACAGTTTTAATAACTCATTTCTAATAACTGATTTATTTTATCTTTGCCATGATGACAGTAAATAATATTTGACTAGATATTTTAAAGACGCTTCTATACAGCTTAAACTTAAGGCTTAGCTAGGTAGGTTTGGATAATCAGGTAAGTTATTGTATAACGATGGTTTGTTCTGTGTAGACTGTCGAAAAAAATATAGTTAAAGGGGCTAATAATTGTAATAATTGCTTTTAAACGTTAAACATTTGGGAAATATTTTTAAAAAATCTAATTTCTAAAAATGTTTAGTGACTAAAATATGATTTTAATAAATATATCAGTTTACTAAATCTGTTTTGTTTAAATGCACCAAAATACATACACTGAGAAATGGATAAAATTTTCATTTTCACAATGTGGTGTACTTTGTTATGCTGAGCACTGTATCTACAGTACCTTTCACTATTTATACGAAGAAAATGCATAGAATAATGTGTACACACGCAAATTGGAATGCATCAAAGATGAAAAAGGTGCACAATTAGAAAAGTGACAGCAGTAAATCAATTTACAGACACCACACAATTAACACAAAATATTACTTGAAATGAAATCATTTCCTCTGTAAATTAGAAAAATTGGGAAGAGTTCATGAATCAGATTAACCAGGGTGTATTTAGAAAAACAATTAACAGAAACAACACTTCAACATCACAAGAGATAGATAGATAGATAGATAGATAGATAGATAGATAGATAGATAGATAGATAGATAGATAGATAGATAGATAGATAGATAGATAGATAGATAGATAGATAGATAGATAGATAGATAGATAGATAGATAGATAGATAGATAGATAGATAGATAGATAGATAGATAGATAGATAGATGCAATATTGCCTTCATCATGGTGTTGAAGTTTAAATGGCTTTTTAACGAGCGATTCATCAAGTTCATCTGTGTCTTCATAAAACTCTCTGCCAGTCTATTTTCATTTTACAGTCCTATATTCACTAGATGTGATCTATTACATTTTCAGTAATGCTGTACAAGCGCTCTCTTTCCCCCATCACACACACACAGTGCAGAGTGCTGGCAGAGCTCAGCTGTGGTTTGTGAATGGGATATTACATGATGATGATGTTGCAGCCACTCTGACTTTGACATGAGACGACCACTCGCTTTCTGCATCCACTAACTGTCTTACTCTTATGCATACTTGATAATTCACCCATTTCTACTATCTGTCTTACTTCCTATAAGCTGTGTGTGGTACTTGTTCTTTTTTTCCCTCTCCATCCCATCCAAGAGATCCTTGTTTTATTGTCTGTAGTCATTCCATAACTCTTCCCTGAGTGTGGTGGTAGTGCATGCCATTGTCTTACCCGCTGTAGAGTGAGCTGGAGTCCCGGGTTCAGCTGGAGGTTCAGGTCTGCAGAGGAACGAGACCGGCAACACACAGACAGACAGCGAACCAAACTGGAGCTTGAGCACACCAAAGAGAGAGAGAGAAAGAGAGGAAGAGAGAGAGAGATAGACAGAAAGGGAAAAAGAGAGAGAGAGACAGATACAGAGCAGGACGGAGACTGAACACTGAGTAGTTGGAGGTGAGATGAAGGGGAGAGAGGGAGTGTGAGAGGAAGATAAACGTAGAGAGAGAGAGAGTTGGGAAGAGAGAGAGACAGAGAGAAGGGGAGGGGCTTAAGTCAGATAGGAGGGGCTATGTGATGCTGTAAGAAAAGCAGTAAATGAATGAATGACTGACCGAATCACTGAATGAATGAATCACATGAACAAATGACCAAATAATCATCCTGAACAAACAAACACCTTAATGAGCTGCTGAATTATTAAATAAATGAACAAGACTTAAAGAGCAAATAATGAATGAACTAATTAATCAATGAAAGGCCAAATGAATGAGCAAATGAGCTAACAAATTACCAAATAAATCGATGAATAGACAAACAACCAAATGAATGAATGAATTACCAAAAATATAAAAAAGCAAACAAATTAACCACCCAGTGATTTAAATGAACGGCTGAAAAAACAAAAGCAAATAAACAAATAAATAAACCTTCAAATTAGTTTAAAACAACAATGACTGAATGATTGAATAAATGAACAAATGACTCAAATACACAACAGACCAAATGAATTTATGAATGAATAAATCAGTGGACGAATGACTAACCCTCTACCGCATGGTGTTGCCATATGGCAACATGACATGTATGTTCATTTCTCTTTCACTATTTCTTTAAGACCAATGTTCTAATTTTTTGTTGTTGTTGGAAAGAGAGACCTTAGTGTAGCCAATGATGTGCTTTGGTTAAGTCACATGACATGAAGTGTGTTTCTGTGGCGTGATTTCTGACAGACTGGTGTTTATTGAGTGTGGTTGCTGAATGCAAATAAAAACGCCAATAAAAACAAAGGATCAACTCATGTCAGATCCACAAAAAAATCTGAGATATCACCTGAGAGAAGAAAAGGACAGGCTCTTTCTGCAGATGAAGTGAGGATGAGATGGGGTTTAGTGACCATGAGAATGATGTAGAATGGACATTTGATAAAGCCATCGACAGTTCCAGTAAGTTAGCCCTGAGGCATCCAGTATAAGACAGGCGTAGCATTGGAATTGGAATTACAAGGTTGTATCTGCGTTCTGAATGATTTTGAGATATTGAGCTTCAAATTTTTTGTATTCCATAGCAAACAGTATGTGTGTAACATTTGTTTTTAAATAAAAAGTCTTAATATGTAAACAACTTATTAAATGACATCTTATTTACATTATAGGATGTTTTTTATAAGAATTTATTAACTTAATTAAAAAAAATGTCAGATACAACCTTATAATTATAAGGTGACGTAGTAGCTACATCATTTTGATGCATCTGGATATATTAGGCTTGTTATTTATTTATTTGTTAAAATATTTACAGGAGAAAATATTTATTTTTACTGTATGTTATGTACATGATAATGAAATATTATAATTTTTTTCAATACCATTCAGCAAAAAAGAATGGAATAAATGCAAGCTGTTGGAATATCAGTTGTTGGAAAGTGTGTATAATGTGTCATTTATAAGTTTTGTGTTAAAGCTTACAATACTGCAACACCATTTAAATTATTTCAAACAGCAAAATTATTAATTATAAAGAAAGTTCTAAACTTGAAATTTCTAACTTAGATCCACTGTTGGACATTGTTGCCATATGGCAACATTTCATAAAGTACCTTCAAATTTTACAGCACTTCAAGTTCAGCCATATTGAAAAAGAAAACAGTCAAATTATATATTGTTTTATAGATCAATCATAATGCGAGCAGTAGAGAGCTAAATAAAAGACCAGAATAAAAAATGATATAGCAGATGGGTCAATCAGCTGAATGAATCCCTGAATGAATAAATAGATGAATGAACAAATGAATAGAGGAATTAACTGAATAAGAAAATGAAGGACCTGAGCCACTGAGTAAATGACATTCTGAATGAACAAATAAACAAACAAATTATCAAAAATTAATGAACAAAATAATAAAAAACTATTAATGAATGAATGAATTAACAAATGGCCTAAATCAAAAATGCCCAAAGTAGGGCCCGTGGGCCAAAGTAGGCCTATTGTAGCCTTTGATTTGGCCCACCATCCCATCTGAGAATGGATGGAGATTATGGGGCGATTGCCTTTAACATAGAGATGGAAAGTCATAGAGAGTCATTTCTATTTGACGTAACCTTTTTTGTTTGTTTTATTGCTGAGCTCCAAAAAAAGCAAACTGAAATGAAATGTTTTAATTAATTGTGGTAAATGAATCAGATTTTTAAAAATGTAAGCAATGTCACTCAACGCACAGAGGACAATGCAGAAAACCTTGGTGAGCATGGGCCGGAAGATTCTGACGGTATGATAACCTTGGATAAAATATCACAGTTTCACGGTACTGTGATTACTGCTCTAAAAATATATTCTTTTTAAATGTCTGAGTAAAAAACAACTTTTTCCACTTTTAAACACAATATATTATATTTTGAGAAACATTTAGAATATTTTGTAACAGTAAACATGTCAGACTAAATAATTAAAATGAATCATTTACTTCCAGTGTCTTCATTTGTTTTAAACCTTTTATTTGTTCAGAATCTTTTCTGCTCGAGATACTGTTGACCTAAAAAACGCTAAAAAATTTTTTTTAAATCTTACTCACACCTTAGGAACAGTATAGCAGAAAATATTTGCGGTTTTAAAACCTTTATTGTATACCTTGAAAATGTGCATCATATGCCTGATGGTGAGCCATTAAAAATTTTTTACAGATGCATAATAATTTCATGTTAAAGAATTATGCTGTATCAGTTAATATAAAGCAATGTTTTCTAGTTGTTTTCAAATTAATTAGGAAATTACCAATGGTAACTACTTTTGGCCCACTAGCCTCAATCAAGGCTGGTTTTTGGCCCTTTATAAGAAAACTTTTGGGCAAATCAGGCCTAGATAATTACTTGTGAATGAAAAGAAAAATTATCTAAATAATGAATGAAAGACTGAAAGAGCTTAAGAGACTCCAAAAATAAATGAACGAATGCTTGAGTAAATCCTTAATAAATTATGTAAACAATGACCTAATGATAAATTTCTAAATTTAAAAAACATATTAATTGACAAGCCAATACGAGAATAAACGAGAAATGCCTAAATAAGTGAATCAATTTTCTCACCCAATAATAAAGAACAACACATGAATAGTAAAGTTAACAAATAGCTGAATTAATGAATACATAATTAATACATCAATGAACAACAAGAAAACGTGGATCAGTTCACTTTTACTTATGACCTACTGAATAGTTCCTCCATGCCTATACTTAATTGAATTGAGAAAATCACATATCAGTCATACTGTATCACAAATTAAATTGAATCTTTTACAAAATCCTCTTTTTCACTACAGTCTCTGGACTGTCTATTTTAATGATAGACAAATCACTTTATCAGATTAGGCATAGACATAAAAATTACAAGATTATGCACTGACCTAAACATTATAAGCATGATTTTCAGTAGAATTGCAGCAAATTCTGAGTGTAAAATTAACTTTTGTTGAGCCAATATATTGTGATATATCTGGTAACTGTGGCACATGACGTCAGACTGAATATGGGAATGAAAGTTTAAGGAACCAGGGAGAAAAAAAGGAATAAATTAATACTTTGACTAGTTCATAAAAAGGAACAGAACTTTTGGAAAGTCCCTGAGAGGGATATTTCCCCAAACTCAAAAAAAAGTAATAACGCTGTTATTATTTACTTATCCTTGTGTCATTCCAAATCTTTGTGACTTATTTTGTGTGTGTGAACATCTTTGCTTGTACTTTTTGGATTAATTACTTATCAAACATTTCTCCTCATTTGATCAAGATTGTCTCTGAAATGTCAGAGATCTGAAACATTGTTCACCAAATCCTTCCAAGACGAAATCTAAACTAAATGTAAACATTACTCATATATTCTGTCTAATCGTATTTCTCCAATGTATTTCTAGGAGGAAAACTTGATATTTAAATGAGAACAGAAACAAAAACGAAAGCTCCTGAGATATGAAAGAACAATCCGGAAGCCTTCAAGCACATCCCGATGAAAATTATGTTTGGAGTTGATGATGAAACACAAGGTTTAATAAACTGGAACAAAAACAAAAAGTCGCTGAGTCGGGAAGAACTACCAAAAAATGGGGAAAAAATACCCATGAGACTACAAAGAGTGGCATGACTACACGTTATAACAGGATGACCTGAAGGCACATAGACAATTATTTTTTTGAAGAAATAAAAAAATTTAATTTGTCTTCAAGCATGAACTATATTGCACAGCATCACAGAAACCCTGTTGCCTGTTGCTACCCATCACAGTTCACAAATGAACCATATATGACTCCATCCATTTATATCACATTGTGGGCCACAAACATCTGCATTCCTGTTTATTTATGTTTAAAAAAAAAAAAAAAAAAAGCTTATTCTACAGTGGCTGAGAGAACAAAAACGGGCTGCATTTTTTGTTTTTTTTACAACACTTACTGATACTGATAAATAGATGCTGTTTCCCAAATAAATTCTGTACACACGATTTAAAGCCAAGCAAAAATAACACTCTTGGTTTTGGGTGAATGTTTGAATAAACATATACACATAATTAATAATAATAATAATAATAATAATAATAATAATAATAAAAACAACAACAACAACAACAACAACAACAACATTTAAAGATGTCGATCTTGGAGGGTTTCTTTAAAACACAACTCTGTTTGTCTTAAATGAGCATAAAATGTTAGGAAAGCAATAGAATGCTTTCATTATGGATCTGTGCGTTTTTTAAAGTGATACCTTAATGTAAATAAACAAAAATCTAAATGAGAGACTTATTCTCTGCTCTTTACTCAGAATGTTTAAATTATTTAGTGAAGAAAATGTTAATGAAGAAAAGGTTAATGAGCTCTCTCGGCCGCCATGCTATTCTAATAATACATTTATTTGATCAAAGATATAGTAAAAAGAAACTGTACAATTGTGAA